TACCTAGTGAGAAGGAAATATATTTTTCCATATTATTTGGGACAACGTTAATGTTCATCTTGAACTTTCCAATCTCCTGCATTATCAGATGGCTATCGTAACCTCTTAGGTTGTGGAAAACCACCGGAACTTTCCATGTGATTCTATACTTCAGATTACACATATTATGGGCAGCTCCACGATACATTCCAGTTACATGATCGTGATCTCTTACTCTATCATCACCTAAGTCATTACCACATATGGAGCAGTTTCTTGTCATCCAGAACTCAGCTTCTTGCTCTGGTGTAATTACCATCTTTTTCTTGAATATTTTGTTTACCATCTCCCGGCACCTAATAGACTCCTTCAATACTGTCTTCAGAAAGACATTCGTGGCGTCCTCACCAACGTAACTTATATATTCACCAGAGTACTGATCATCATAATGACACACTGTTTTCAACCCAAAACTACAGGCTTTGTGTGTTTGGTAAAGGTCTGTAGTACTCTTTTCCTCAGAGCTTTCGGGATCAACTTTTCTCTCTTCGGGAACCAGTATGGACTCGAAGTCGGCGTATATTACAAATGGTGCAGGCATTGAGTTCCTGTGATTTTTGAACTTTATTTTCGTACCCTTACTCGGAAGCTTTGTGGCCTGAGTTCCATTTACCTCGAGACATGTCTCCTTATGTTTCTTCAGCAGCTCCTCGCTCTTACAGCTGTGGAGGCAATACAGACAGAAGTGCTTCTTATGTTCGTATCCACTTACACTATACAGCATTCTATTAATGTCCTTTATTAGGACATAGTGGTTGTTTCCATTACCGTCACCTAAGAGTAGCAGCTCCATATGCTCGTCGTATTTTGTCTTAGAGTTTCTTATTGGATAGAACTGCTTTTTACCCTTATAGCCGAACACTGATATGCTTATACAGTTTCTCCTCTCGATTTTGTCAATATCACTTATTTTCACAGGGAAGTCTATTCCCTCGTAGTCTAGGTTTTCCGAGAACTTAACATCCTGTCGTGTTATAGTAGTTGCTCTCCTAACCTTTGGTCTCACGTGTCTCACATGACTCCACATAAAACATTTGTTATCTTCATTTTTCATATTAATGAGACCACATTTTGGATTACTAATGTCTGCGGGTAATTTCATATATGAACTACCCTTTAGAGGTTTATACATTGCAATGTTAACGTGGTGGCTTTCAATATTTAGTATAATCCAATTTGAACCTAGGTTTTGGAATGTTTCGATTCTAGATAGGATTGTCAGCTGGTTTTGTGCCGCAGTGCTTTCGATATCCTCGAAGTTGGTTGCAGTTCCAGTTTTCGACTTGAAGTATATTGAATCCTTCTTTGTTTTGTCATTACCGATTTCCTTCGACATTCTCACCTTGATTGTTTCTGTATATTTTAGACCTCCCATTCTCTTCAACTCGTTCACTAGTATTCCCCTCACCACCTGCCTACTTGCTGTCATCTGGTCCAGTGGGTCCATATAGTTTGGAGTTATTGAGTAGGTCACAGCTGCTCCATTTGCGGCAGTTTCTATTTTCCTGTAGGATGGCTTATCGAGGTATGTTCCAAATGGATCGATTTCGTGTTCCTCAGGTGTAACCACCACAGGCTGCTCCACAACTTCCCTAGTCACCCTTGCAGGCTTTCGTAACTTTGGAGGAGGCACTGGTTTTTTAGTCCTTGGCTTAGGGACAGGTCTTTCCTTAGGGATTTTAGTTCTAGGTTTAGGGACAGGTCTTCCCTTGGGAAGAACAGTTCTGGGCTTAGGAACAGGTTTCCATGGAGTCACACCTTTTGGCACCTCAGGAGCTTCCCTTGTAGGCTTTTTACTGAGATCCACTGTCACCGTGAACTTATTTGGTCCCACCTGTGTTATGGCGCTGTTCGTAGGAACCGAGAGTTTTATCCGACCCTGGCTTATGAACCTTTCTGCGACAGTCTGTCTTCTAGCCTTAGGTGGCCTGCCTCTTCTCTTGGGAACCGTAACTTCTTTAGCTTCAACCACCTTAGCCTTTGGCGGTCTACCTCTCCTTTTGGCAACCTTAACTTCTTTGGTTTCGGCTACCGCGGCCTTTGGTGGTCTACCCCTTCTTTTGGGGGTTACTTCACCATCAGCCTTGACCTTTGGTGGTCTACCTCTAGGACGCTTGGGATTTCTAAGGTTTTCGAGCCTCTTCATCTCCGCGTTTACCTGAGGATCGTCCGTTCTCCATCTACCTCCCATTGTTGGTGGTAGACCTTCAACTCCTCTACTTAGTAGGCTCTGATACGCTTCCTCAACTAGTAAAGCCTTTGCCTTCTGCCTCTCGGAATATTTCCATGTTGGCATTATTCCTCTCTTACCCTTGTAGTTCAGTGGGAGTCTTCTTGGCCTTTTGGGATCCGTAGCTCTATCGCCTTCATCGATGAATAGTTTCTCTTCCGCGAAGATGTTCTCTCCCTTGTCCTTAGGTGCAACACGGTAGAACTTATCCTCCGAGATTTTATTCACTTCATCCTCAAGATTTCCTTTATAGTCGCTGTCATCAATTATCTCACTAAGTGCCATAAGTTGTTCAACGGTCATATCGTTCATGTCAAAGTTGTTCGCCATTTTTCACTCTTTCTCTATATACTATAGGTAAAAAAAATAGCCCTAATTAATGGGCTATTTAATTCATTAATTTATTTAACATTTAATTTAATAATTAATTTAATAATTTGGTATTTTATTTAATTTAATATTTTATTTAATTTAATATTTAATTTAATTTAACATTTAATTTAATAATTTAATATTTTATTTAATTTAACATTTAATTTAATAATTTAATATTTTATTTAATTTAATATTTTGTTTAATAATTTTATATTTTATTTAATTTATAATTTATTCTTTAATTTCCAGTTATTATAATATTCACAATTTATAGGTTTCCATTCCAACTCGGGGAAGACCTTACCATATAACCTATTCTCAAGGATGTCCACAATTCTTTTGGTTTTGATGTCCTCAGGAGGGTTTCTTAACGTGATGTTGTTCATGCTAGCTATCCTCAGTAGGTAAAACTTATATCTAACTATGTTGCGCCCCCGCTGCAGTCTAAGTCTTTGTATACACCTTACGATGCTTCTAAACTGCTCCCGTATGGTATCCCTATCCCCTGAAGCAACATGCTCTAATAAGTGTCTCTCAAACCAACGGACTCTGTTATGAGAAGACTTCTTTTTCAGGTAGTCGTCCTTGTTGTGGTTGTAACTAACATAGTATGTAAAGCCATTCCTGTCACTTGTACCACATTGTGTGCATACATCTGCTCCATCTATTACTACAATAGACTTACTACCACATTCAACACATTCCGGTTCGTATGTATGTACAACCTTCATTTTACCTCTCACGTATTTCATTACTGCGGCCTCCAGCTCCTCAATGTTTTTTGCTCTCCTACCGACTCTTTCCATTTCATCAGGTGTTACCAGTGTCAGCCAGTCCATTCCCTATACTATATGTGTTAAAATATTCTGCTTGTTTTTGTTGTCTGTTTTTACGTCTCCTTATTATTCTCAGTTCTACATATTTTTTAACCGCGGCCTCCAACTCCTCTATAGTGTCTACCCTTTTACCAAGGGCTATTACCTCGTCAACGTCTACCATTGCAAGCCAGTCCATTTCTCTACAATATATGTGTAAAAATTTATTGCCGTATTAAATTAATAAATAAGCTGCCCCTCCAACCACCCCACCCATAATTAAACCAAATATTGCCATATATTCTTCCATCTCTGGGCTAGGTTTGTAGTGGTTACTTAGTTGCGGCTTTCTTGGCATAGCTCTGTGTGTTAGCTCGTTAATTCTCCTGACGAGTTCCAATGCCTTATTTGTTGAATTAATATCCCTATTCGCCTCAGCTAGTTCGGCCTTAAGTTGCGCAAGTCTGTTTCTTCTATCGGTGACTTCCTCAACGTACTTCTCTCTTTCAGCTGTTAGGTTCTCCATTGCAATATTGTGTCTGTGGGCTTCCTCAGCGTATCCATTCTTGTCAAGCATTTTAAATAGATATCCTGCTCCGGCAAATGCGAATGCATTAAAGAGTCCTCCTGCTGCTGCTCCCGCCATTGTATAGTCTTACCTAGGTTTTAAATGGATCATCTGGTATATACTTCTTTTCTTTCAGGTAAGAGACCAGCAGAGATGAAAGACTAACTGAGACAGCTAGCTTTACCATTCCTTTTACGTTCTCTGGGGTGCCTAATGGTTCTTTCAATAGTTTTTTCGATGCCATTGATATACCTACTGCTCCTGCTGTAAGTAGCACTGCGTTGTACACTTCCGCGGTCATCTTTGATTCTTTACTCATCTTGCTATAATATATATTATGTTTAACGTATCATTCAAGTGAATCTAACTTGAGCGCATCAGCTTTCCTGGTTACTTCTACAGTTTTAGGGATGTACTTAGGTTCTGGTTTCTCTGTTTCCCTCTGATGCTGATTAAATGCTAGAGCAAGGGATATCAATGCGATGACCACTCCTACGTATGCGATCGTGTTGTTGTTGGATGACTCCTCAGGTTCTGCAAGTTTCTTTTTTCTCTCCTTTGCTAATCTGCTGATTGCAGCTAACCGTTTTCCCGCAGCTACTCTTTTTGGGTCTTTTTTCTTTTCACTTGTCACTACTTGGGTTTGCTCAGGTTTATCTTCCATTCTACTTGTAAGATACCTTAGGTTTAACTTGGTTTCATCTTGTGAGACATCTGGAGTCTACTTGTGAGATAACTTAAATTTACTTGCAAGATGTCTCAAATCTACTGGTGAGATAACTTAGATTTACTGGTGAGATAACTGGTGAGATAACTTAAATCTGCTGGTGAGATATCTCGGATCTGCTGGGCGGTATGATGGGATTGCTTAAAAAATGCCCAACAAATTTTGCCGAGCATTTTCTAGGTTTATTTCCTTCGCTTCCCGTTTGCACTCTGGTACCGACTACATCAGTAGACGCTGCTGGCGCAGCTAGTACTTACCGGGTGTGTAACCAATCCTTTGAATTACGACTTCTTTACACTTACTAGACTCTAAGGTCTTACACTTTATCTTAAGGTTCTCTATTTCATTTATAAGTTTCTTTGTATTATCAACTCTAAAGTACTCATCTATGTATAACACTATCTCTGTGTAGTTGTTGGATATTAGTGTTCGGAATCCATTTTTACCTAACTCTCTTATCCATGCTACCTGATTATCTCTGACTTCACCTGTACCCTTCGGAGTCTTAAGTTCTATTGCGAATCCATTGAAACCATTACTTGGAGTTACTATTGTGAGATCGGGTTGTCCGCCCAAATATCCCTTCCTCCAGGCGTCACATCTCTTTTGAGATGTATCCTGGTACTCTCCTAGTCCCGGTAGGATTAGGGCTTTTGGGTGGTACTTTTTAAGATATTCTACAACTGCATAGCGCAGATCCGTTTCGTTAATTAGCCTCATCTGATTACAGTATAGTGGCTCAGATTCTGGTAATTTGTACGAGCCTGTTTTACGGATAGATGGAAGTACTTCATTGAACACCCAACCGTGAAAGGCCTCTGCTGTTGGAAGTCTTGATCCAAATACTAGCTGGTACAAACCAGGTTCTCTTAGGAAAACACAGTTCGGTTGACTGAAAGTGGGACCAGTCATGGGTCCTACTTTCAACTCCCCAAGTGTTACCTTATTTTGCTTCCATACGTGAGTTTGGATAGCTTTTTTCGTATTTGAGTACCCTAGGGATTCCGCTACATCTTTTGCATAAAATAGTATCTCCTCACCACATATAACAGTTCTTACACTAACGTTCAACTTTTGGTTCCTAAATAATTTCTCCATCTTCCCTATACTATATGTGTAAAAATTTTTTAGGCTATTTATTTGTTAATTAAATCTGATTTATTTTTGAAGCAGCATTCCCACTACCCACCCAACTACTTCTAATGTGAGGCACCGGTTATAAAAAAATATTTTGTCTACTGCATTTCATTTAGATTCTTGTATATCTTTACAACTGTTTTAATTGTGTCAACCTTAAAAGCTTCAAAGTCATACTTTAGTGGACCTACTATTTTATTCTTGAGGGCATTATGGTCGCTCTCTAGTGAATCCAGGGTTGCCTGAATTTTATCTAGCTGTTCCCTATTCCTGTCAGTCAATCAACTCGTCAATTATTGATTCGAATTCTGTTCCATCCCAGGCGTTTCCCCAGTCGTACTGCGACATTCTTCTTCACTATGTAATAGGATATGTTTTGCTTCCTCCGATATCTCCTCAGGCTTCTCCTTCTTTTTCCACTTGTGAGCAACAACGTGCTTTGCTGTGGTACAACCACCTGATATTAAACCTATGAATGGAATGTTGGGGGATATCATTCTAGTTAGATATGATACGTCATCCTTTAAAAGTTTATCACTAAGTAGTTCATCTGACAGTTTCTCTGAAGATTCCACTGCACCGAAACTCCCTAATACAGAAGCAAACTTTGAAATTATAAGTGTTGATAAGAAGTCACTTGCGAATGACATCCTCTGACTTTCATACTCATTGGAAAGTTTGTCCACAACATCCTTGTTGGACTTTCTTATAAAACTTGCGGTCTTATCAATTGCACCGAATGGTTTTGCTACTGAGGACAGTTGTTGGGTAATCACAATAACAGATAAGTTGTAATGTCTTGCAGAGAAAGCTAGTCGCACCAGTTCTGAGACTCTTTTCTTTACATCTTGACTTGCTGCACAATCATCCACAATGATGAGAGTTTGAGTTCCACGAAATATGGTGGACACTGCCTTCAGAACTAGATTGATCATTTCTTGTGAACATGGAATTTGTATGACTCCGTGATCACTAATATGAGTCCAATTAATGTAAGTCGTATTCCATTCTATTGTTGGACATATAATAACAATGTAATCAAAAACTTTATTGTATTCCGTTTCTAACATATTTAGTAAGAACTGAGTTTTACCACTTCCTGTCATTCCTACTATGAGCATGTTGAATGGTGGTTCAAGTTGCATCTCTATGCTTTACCGTTAGTACTAGCTGCGCTAGCAGCGTCTAGTATTGGATACTTGATAAGTCTCTATTAGCAAAGTTAAGGAGGGCATCTGATACAATAAAAATATTGCATTGAACGTCAGCTGTTGTGGCTCTCTTTTTGATTTCCATGAGTACGCCTGACTGTGTGTTAACAATTCTCCTTCCTCCACCAGTGGTGTCATCCTGTGTTGACCTTAGATCTACTACTAAGGCGAAACCATTGCTGAAGAACTTGCTGACGGACATAAATTCATCTGCCATGGATTTCTCACACATAGGGCAGAAGAATCTTTTTGCCTCTTCGAAGAATCTACTTTTAGGAAGTCCTTGGGAGAAGACTGCATTAGGAACACCTTCAATGGTCAGGTTCACTTTATCAATGTTTGGGTAAATATACTCTTCAGAATCAGTTCTCACTCTATTGGTAAATAGAAGGACAATTGCTGACATGCTCTTTCTGGGTATATTAATGTTTTCGTTGACAATGGTAAGATCCTTGTCCCAGTTACTTGTGCGCATTAGTGTGACGTGTTTGTATGACAGTGAGCGACCTGTTGAATACATTCTTGACACTTCACCAGCAAGGGCGTCATTCTCAATGGTCTCGTATTCTAGCTCAAGATTGTCAAGTTTGTAATTACCCTTAGCTTCACCTCCTTGGGCAGTCATAATCTCATCTGATTGCGGGAGTGTGAGGATGTACATAGGATTGTTATTCATGGAGAACGGTGTGTAGAGTCCATGGTCTGCAATTATTTTATCAATTGGTTTTCTCAGCTTAGAGCCGTACACACTGTGGAGAAGTCCATCTGCTACTTTATTGGCATCACCTACTTTTACTCCTGAGTCATCACCTGATATTAACTTCCTGAGATTCTCACTTGCAAGACCCTGTTCAGTCATCTTCTTTCTATCACCTAGTGTTAGCCATAGATCTTTATATATTTCATACAAACTCTCTCCTGAACAGTCATAAGCTGTTTCACCTGCTACTTTAACCTGAAGACGTTTAGCTATCAACTTAGACAGGTTGTTATTAAAGTGGCTTTTTGTATTGGAATTTTTGAAGTCAAATAATAGTGCAAGTGATCCTGGAACTAGACAAGAGTCAGGTTTTAGTTTAGGTATGTTAATATACAGCTCTTCACCTGGGCTAATTGTTGTTGGATTGAAAGTTACAACGCTTCTGGTTCTAAGTCCTTTTATAGATGTCATGTGGCTCCTCCTGAAGCCAGGTTGGAGTTCTCTTTCTGTGGTATTCATACTTTATACAATATGTAATGTTTAGTTGTACGTGTATAATAAAACTGCTGCTGCACATACAATGATTATCCATATATTATCCGCTGCTAGCTCTACTCCATCGGCTATCTTCTGGAATACAGGTGGTAGTTCTATCTGGTTGCTTACCAACTCACTGATCCGCTTGTCGAGTTTTCCTGTTGTGTCACCTACTTTCCATAATATGTTTCTAGTTGATGCTACCAGTCCTATGATTATAGCTGATGAGGAAATTAGAACAGCTGATAAGATGCCTGCATTCTCCCTTGCCCATAGCCTGAGCCTCTGCAGTCTCCTATGATCATCCCGTTTAATGAGATCCCTCTTTTTCACTTTGTCTCTTAAATTGAGAAGTTTATTTAAGTTTGACTCTCTTTGGTAATCATTTGATAGCATTCTGACGTACCTCAGTTCTTCCGACTTTTCTTTGAAATCTTCTTCGCTTAACATTTTTCTTCTCCTCAGTTCGAGTACGTAATTAATTTCCTCGTTAATATCCTGGGTCTCCTCAGTAGTTTCGCTTTCCCTAAGATCCTTGTCGAGGTATGGTAATTCACTATCTAAAGTTTCTGTATCCATTTCTTCATAGTCTGGATACCTTTCCTTCAACTCCTCCATTCTCTGGTCATCGTATTCCTCTTGGTGTTCCTCCATAGCTAATTTACTTTGTGTAATAGTTGTATACTATTAAGGCCGCAGCTACAGCTAGTACCCATAAATTAGACGCTAACCAGGCAATTCCTTTAGCACCCCAGGATAGCGCTGTTGCAATTGCGTTCAGGATTGGAACTAGAATTGGTCCTGCTTTCTTTGCTAAATTTGCTAATGCTTTTGCTACTTTACCGGTGGTCTTTGCTGTCTTAACAATGGCTCCCCTAGCATGGATTAATAGGGCTGTAATTAAACTAGCTGTTGACACTGCTATCCCTACAAGTCCCACCTTTTCCTTTCCAACCCAGTCTATAAATTTACGTAATCTAGAAATATCTTCCAGCTGTGCCTCTCTTGCTTCCTCTACTACTCTCTGCTCCAGTGTCCTATCCCTAGCTTCCTTTAGACTATCAATTCTTTCTATAAGAGCATTGTACTCAGTTACACCTTCCACAGAGCCGGCTTGTTTCACGGTTTCATTAATAGCTTCGTTAAAGTAGTCGGCTTGTATTTGCAACGCTCCATTGGGACCTGTTCTGCCTTCTATACTTGATCCATCAGGTGGGTTAAGAACACCTCTTAGTTCATTGTTTTCTTGCATTGTTAACCCTGGAAGATCTCCTAATTTTGCACTTATATCTATTAACTCAATATTCTCACGGTCAGCGTATTCCTCACTACTTAACTCACTTAGGTCAGCTGGTTGGTCACCCTCATCACTTACAACTATGTCGTCAGGATTCGTAGGTACCTCTTTTATTTTCTTCAGGAGTTCCTTATATTCTCTCAGTGCAGGTGAGGCCTTCGAGTACACAGGTTTGTCGGAAAAACCACGTTTCATTATTTGTGTACCACTTTTATTAATACCTTGTTCACTTCTGAATATCAACACCTCTGTGCCATCCTTGAGTGTTCTTACAGATGATCGTTTTATGAGTTCTCTAACGTATCTATTCCTAGGATCTAGTATCAGTCCCTCCTTGCCCTTGATAACTCTTGTGATAGCTTGAACACGCTCCACTTGGTTTTCAAAATCTCTCTTTTTATTTTCTGTTGAAATCTTATTTAGTTTCTCCAGGCGGGCTTCTATTTCATCCCAGTCATCGTCAAATGATTCGTTGAATGCATCTAGTACGTCTGGAAGTACATTGTTTGGATCTTCTACAAAGTTGACTTCCGGGACAGTTGTACTTCCTGATGGACCTGAAATGTTCACTGTACCATCATTTCCTTCAGTGAAAGTTGTTTCTTCTATTACACGTCTCTCCATGAGATTCTTCACATAGTCCAGTTCACTTTTAAGATTAGTTATCACTATAGGGTCATCACCATACATAGCCTCTCCCTTCACCCTTGTATCTAACCTGCTAAAAGCTGTCGTTAGGTCATCATAATTAAGGTCGTCATATTGAGGATACGTCTTTTCTGTCTCCTCCATTTCATATTCGTCATAGTCCTCCATAATACCTTAACTTATGTTAGGGACTTGATGTCTCCAGCTGGTATCCAACTGTTAAATTTGTCATCATAACCTAACCATTTAATGAGAGCCATCTTTTTACCCTTCAATGTTCTTCTTCTTAGTACTTTCTCTATTTTGAAATCAGGTTCTCTTCCTTCAGCGCTATACAGTTCTTGTTCATAGAATCTGCCAATTATTGGTTCATCAGAACTGTCTTTTATTGTGTACGTGTTCGGATGACCGTGATACACTTCCGTCACAGTGAACAACTCCTCTGTAAAATTTGCTTCATACCCTTTTGTGAACACTGATTTGTATTTTGAAATTCTAACACTTTCTCCAACAGCAAACTTTGGTTCTGATGGCTTGCCTAAATTGTGACTAAAAAGTGTCTTCCATACTTCAGTCCAGTTGGACTCATTTACACTGTCCGGTGTTGTTTTAATTGATCTGTTCACTGAACTGTTGTAATTATCAGTTAAGTCTTGAAGGACGTCTAACCATTTATATGTACTGGCACTGTAGAAGTACTTCCACATTAGAGCCTTCAGTGTTCTGTTAAATCTTTCCACAACTGCGGCCTTTTTGTCTGAGTAAGTAGAGAAATATTCAATGTTATGTTTATTGAGCACTGATTTTACATCTTTGTTGTAGAACTCTGTGCCTTGATCAAACTGTGCGAATTTTGGGTATTTACCAAAACGATTATTAAATTGCTCTAAAATGTTACTGACTGCGTCCTTCATTGATGTCGCGTTTTTCCTATACACTGGTACTGTGAATGCGTACCTACTTAGTATTTCGATTGATGTGAGAATCCATCGGTATCCCTTGTTCTTGTCATCATATTTTGTCATGTCAACTAAATCCATTTGTAACTGTTCACCTAAAGTTTGAACGTACGTCTGTCTGAACTTATGTCTCCTAAACACTTGTCTGTACCTTGTGTATGTGTCCTGCTCGTTTATCCATTTCTTGACCTGGTTTCTGGTTACTTTAAGTCCGTCTGATACTGCTCTAAGATATAGTTTCTCTGGTGTTTGAAATCCAGTCTTAGGATTGTAGTAAATATCTCGTAGTCCCTGTTCTTTCATAATATCATCGTCCATCTTATATTAACCAATGTAAGCTAACTACTCAAGGTACATCTCAAGTAGCACTTCACCTATATCAACAGGTTTCCCGTCTTGATCTGTCATGTAGAATACAAGTTCTGAGAAAGAACCCTTGACTACAGGAATTCTGCTTTCAACATCGATGTAGCTAACCACAGAGCCTAATAATGGTCTGTCAGTTGGGATTGTAATGCTTGTTATTACATCGCTATGTCTTCCCCAGGTGTTAACATTGAAGCTGTTATTAGCTAGATTGCAGTGTATATTTACACCTCGTAGACCATTATTAAAGTCAACTTTGCTATCACTAGTTAGACTCCTTCCTTTTAGTAAGATCATAGGATTATTAAATCTACTAAAACCTAGCATTGTTAAAAACCTGGTTTCTATTGTAATGTCCTGCTTTACAGCTTATATCTGACATCCTGCCGTTTCAGGAAAATATGTTAGTTTAACACCATGTCTCTCAAGTAATTTTCTCATACTGTCAAATGTATAGTAGCCCTTGCTGACAATCACATCAGTTTCCCCATCATCTGTCTTTACCTTGATAATAGTTGTTGGTTCTTTTATATTGAAGTATTCCCAGAACACTGAAACTCTCTTTATGAAGACTGAATTATAATTACTCGTTAGAACTGAATTCTGTAGTGATACGATTGTGTGCGACCCCTGAAGTAGAACTGTGAACTTCATCTTAATAACATACGTTAGGTTATTAAGAATGAGACTAGGTGGAGGAGACATTGGGAAGTCGCCTTATAGGTCTTACCAAGAATATGAAAAAAAGTATGGAAAAGAAGATGAAAATGATGTTGATCCTATTGCTGGTAAAAAAGCTGAGAATGCTGAGAGGGCTAGGTTTATTAAAAAGTATCCTAAAGCTGACATGAATAGGTTTAGGTTTGAAGCTATGACTACCAGTAGTGGTGATATTGGAGTTGTAACATGGTTTGTTGATTTAGATGGTATATCTTCATATGATATTAGATATGACGGTTTCAAGAAGAATAATGAGTTTACGTATTATCTCACAGGTACTAAGAATATTATTATCCCCGCACAGTTTATACCTATGCCTGACACGAAAGAACCTCCTCCAAAGTTACCAGGGACATTTTCTCCCGAGGTGAAGGGGGATGGGTGGCCGTATCTCTGGGATAGTCATGGAACACTTCAGAAAATAAGTTTTACTGAAGGTGATCCTATTATTGGAATGTATCCTTCTATTACAAAAGTTAATCCCATTTCTAATTTTAAAGTTTATGTTAATAATAGTGAATTCTTCTATAGTAACCTACCTAAAATTAGTGACTACGTTAACATTAAAAAGGTCCCTCCGAAGTTTAATAAGGAATTATCATATTATGCTGCAATATGTGGAACTTACGTGGCTACTTATCTATGTGGAGTTTCTACCCATCACACAAGTCCTCATGACGACGTAAATCCTATTATAACATCTATCATGAATTTTCATATTTACCTATGGGTTAGAAGATTTGTTAAAAATCCTGATTTACTTCAGCAGTATTCTGGTAACCTAAGGGCAATATCTGGAAATATTCCTGTTAAGGGACACTGGGATGTTGATAAGTATAGTGACACTAAAGCATCTATCGGAATTGTTTACAGGAGGTTCAAGAACGAACATAGGACTGTTAGAAATGTTAGGCCCGCTAGGAATGCTTCCGGAAGAGTAGTAGGACTTAGTTACGATGAGTTGGTAGGTATAACTTCCCTTGCTAGTGCTAGCGACTACATGAGGTATTATGCTACCAAAAGTACAGGTCTCGTTGATACTTCGCTCATACAGGAAAGCTTGCAGTGTTATGTCTACTGTGTCCTTGGAGCTCAAGCTAATACTAGGTGGGCCATAGTTGATCGTGGAACTTCCTCCTTACTGACACAAAAAGGATTCCGTCAGCTTGTAGAGGATATGGTTGTTCAAACTGATTTGACTGTTGGTATATCTAATATGAGAATTGCAATCAGGGACACTAACGCCATAGTTAATACTGCGATTAACCCTGACATCATACTATTTCCATCGAACCTGGTAATACTAAAGGAGCCAATTCCAGGCTATAATAATATTTTACTAAAACCTAACTCTAGTGTTAAGTTTGGTGTAAACGATAAGGTAAACTATGTTGGGGTTAAGAAGACTGATCCTCCAAAGAAACAACATCAAGACACTACACCAGTTCACCACCTTGATACTATTAACGGAACCAAGAAAGTTCCAGGAGGTCCTGTAGATAAACGGCGCCACACTAATACCAACGAAAGCCTGGATAGTATCCCGGAAGATTCTAAGATAGTCAAGCCTCAGGAAGGTCCAATTGACACCAGTCCTGAAATTCCCACCGTGGAACCTAGTGGTATGTCTTCGGGAGTCGGTGCTGCCGCTGGAGTTGGAATTGGTGCTATAGTTGTATTCATTCTAATGAAAGTTGTCCTGTAAACATTATGTATTCTATAAAATGGCTCTCTATAGAGGATACAATAAAGGAGTAAATAAAGTTGACCCATCAAGTGGTAGTGTGTTTGATAAGGATGGATTTACCATGAAGAGTGACATTGAGATGGATGGTAATGAGGTGAAAGGTCTGGGTGCACCTACAGATGATACTTCTGCGACCACAAGAAAGTGGGTGGATGATGAGATCATTAAACGGGCTGCTCTTATAATTCAACCAGCAGGGTTTACAATGACTGGGGATATTAACATGGGAGGTAATAAGATAACTAATCTTGATAATCCTACTAATCCAGGTGATGCTGCTAGTAAGAGTTGGGTTGAAGGTAGTCGTAGGCATATACATGTAAGCCTACCCGGACTTATTCTTACAAATGATCTCAATATGTCAACCAATGAAATAAAGGCTTTGGGTGATCCTACAACTGGAAAGTCTGCTGTTAATAAGGACTGGGTAGTTAGTGAGCTAAATAAACCTATATCTGGGGATATTAATATGAAAGACCATGAAATTAAGAATCTTAAGGATCCCTCTGAGGATCAGTCAGCTGTTACAAGAAAGTGGGCTGCTGACAATAACTTTGTTAAAAAAGGTGGAACTATGCAAGGAGATGTTTCCATGGGAGGCTGGAGACTATTTGATATTATTGACCCTAAACTTAGTAGTGAAGCTGTATCTAAAGGTTGGGTTGAGAGTAAGCTGTCTACAATTCCCAGTTCCTCTGGTTTTACAA